TTCACCGACTCATCAGGAGGCTGAACCCTCAACAGTCTGCAGAATCCCCTCACTGATTACACTGTAAATGATAATCTACCTTAACCAAAATCAAAGTAGACTATCACTCACCCACACCAGATGGAAAACTCTACAGACTGTCCGTTCTATATAATCCCGGATGAGAAGAGAGTTTATACACAAATTTGCTGGAGCGAAACAAACTACTTATGGATCACTGATGACTGGGTGAGAAATTTCGGCCTCCCAAAGTCAATAGTTAGCGACAAAGATGATTTATGTCACTATATAGTATATAGTGAAGTCTGGAACAAGAGTAAAAAAAAAAGACTGCCCAGCAGACTGGGTATGAATTGCAGATGCCATCTGGCAATAATCGCGAGACCAACGGACAGGCTGAGCAGAGTCAGCAGACGAATCGGGTGGTACAACACCTGTTGATGGACTATGTTAAACAAAGTCAGGAAGTCTGGGAAGAGAAACTGCCTCTCATCGCCTCGCCAGTCTGTACAACAATCTTGTGCATAGTACCACAGGCAGAGCACCGGATTAGCTGCACTTGGGATGGAAGCCTAGGACTCCAGTGGACCTTCTCCTACCTAACACTAGACCAAGTGCAGCTCCATGAAGCCTAGAATTTGCTATAAACTATAGGAAAATGCTGCAATCTGGTTGATTTAACTTCATAACCTTTATTGTCATTCGCATAGCTCATTTCCTTGCACATGTGTTATGAGCATGATTGTCTGTTGAAATTTTATCAACACTCACTCACAGAAACTCCCGTACACGCCCATACATGCACAGAAGAAAGGGGAGAGGTAGTGGAGTATCACACCGCCCAACAGAAAGAAACGCAGCGGAAGACTCAGAGGAGCGAAGTGACAGAACACTTAAACTGTGAATTCTCTCCACACAAGTCCCAACAATCATTCATAGAAGACAATCGAGTGATCATAGCCAGAAATCAATGAATTGCCAAATCGCAACAAGGTTTAAAGCACCAGTACATATCCCCAAGCCAAGTTGAGAGTCCGATTGAGCGAGCCTCTCCTAAAATTTTGGAGGCTCGCGGGGCGTTGATAAAATAAATTGACGGTGGGTGGCCTCCAAAAGGGGCCCGCGGCCCATGGCTGGGGCATGTACCGGTGGTTTAAAGTTTCAACAGGTTATGAGTCTTATGACTCTTAGCAGCAATCCTTTGTTCTCTCACAGTCGTACCTTTGTGTTGTCTGCTCCATGTGCATATTGAATTAAAACCATAGATATCAATTTTCTGTCTCGACTTTTGAGACGTGTAACTCGTAGATGCTGGAGAAGTTGGATGCTACACATATGCACCAAGACAGGTGCAGGTTTTCTAGAGCAGTGCGCAAGGACAATATGAGGCATACCTTCATGTAGTTTATGCTCATGCCAGCATACAATTGCCGCCATCCCTGTGTTTGAATGATTGCCCTTAGTCCCTCCCATGTGTTTGCATACACTGTGGTCCGCGGTCCCCCGGCCATTAAGAGTTCGGCTGCTACAACCCCTGATGAATTATGCTGCCCATGACTCACTTTTTGCACCTGCATGACCACACACACAGAAACCCAACATTTTTTTTTTTCTCAGAAAAAGAAATTGGACCGTTTCTTGATTTATGCTTGTCAACCTTATGAAGAGGATGCTAATAATATTTTTTTTCACAGAACATTTTTTTTTCTCTGTATCCGTACAATTCTACCGGACATCCCAACAGACACCCGACATTCGTTGTGATGGATGATTGCTGGTCATAAAAGAGAAAAGGTCCAGAGAGAGACACCAACTTGGCAGGTGAGGAGAGTGACGACAAGATGTGGTAGCTCAGTTGGTTGGAGCTCAGGCGTAGTAAACAAGCGAGGTTGTGGGTCCGGTCGACTGTCACCCTCTTCTGCACAGGTTCGGTTGGAGTTAGATTGGCACCCACACACGTCTCCCCTACCCAGTGCAGTACAGCTGCCTGTCGCCAGCGCTAGAGTGGGGAGAGGGCTGACGCTTGCCAAATGGGTAAATCTTCTAGCCAGTTGATCTACCCTTGGGGGGATTAGCAGGTGGGCTCTCCAGGAAATATGTGGCTTCCAATGTCGGGTTCTGTTCTTCATGCTGCTGTTTGCCACATACTGGCAGATCTTCACTAACGCCATTCCATCTTAGCAATTTTTTGATTCTCCATATCTGTTTGTGTTCGTCCACCATCTGACATCTCCCGACTTCCCTCTCCTTCCTTCTTATCACCCGAGTTGAATTCCGTTTTGACTGATTTCCCCCCGCCCAAACAGATGCTCTACTGCTGCATCCATGTGGCGTTGTGTGCTTCTCAAAAAACTCCAAACTGTCTCTCTCATTCTATCCACAAACCATCCATGAAACAAAAGAAGGTATAGATAGGCAATATAGTACAAGATGCAAGGGTGGCCCCGTTTGTGCGATAAAGCGCCAAAAGTGCCCACACACCCATCTGCCGTCGAAGCAGCTTGCTTGTATAGCGAGTGCATACAAGGATGGAGGGCAAAAAAGGCAACACACTCAACACAGAAGGCTCCGCCAACAAATGAAAGCACTGGCCGCATCCGCCAATGATCTGAAAAAAAAAAACACTCAGAGATCCAGCTGAGTCGCTCCACAAAGCCCACAAGATTTATTGCACACAAGTACAACAGCATTGACACTGCTATTCATCCCAAACGACCCACCCGCTCATGTCACCGTCATCTCTACTACTCCATGGCTAGACAACCCCCCTTTTCACTTTGTAGTCTAACCCCTGGAGTGTATAGAGTATCATAATCCCGTGTGTGTTCGTGAGTGAGTGAAGGACACGACAGCCTTGCAGGGGTGGGTGGATATCACAACAACCGGCATGGTTCAATTTTCGTACACCACGTGCCGGCTGTAGCGGTTTTGGGACTTGTGGCCAAGGGCGGGCGCCGATTCGAATCCGTGCTGCACAGAGGAGGTCTGATGCCAGAAAGTGTGGATCCATAACTACTTCATGACGTCATTAGGTCCATAATAAACTTCCGCCCCCTGCAAAAAGGAAGGGGGGGAAAAAAGAAAGCTTGCTTGACTGAACGCTCTTTGCTTCTTCTTTAACCTTTCTTCTTCTTTCATCCGCTGTGCCTTGTGTGGTTTCCAGTGCTGTGGTATTCCACATCAAATCTTCGTGATGTATTCTCTCATCATCAGTTTCACTGAAGATAATCACCTGCATTTGCCTCACTGTACTGCTCCTCTTTCTTTCTTGTCTCACCTCCTGATGTATTCTCTCCTCCTCCGGAACTTCTCCTTTTTCTTCTTTCACCTTTCTTCTTTCATCCTGTGTGCCCTGTGTGGTTTTCAATGGCGTGGTTTGCCACATATAGAATCCTCATCATGATGTATTCTTATCTCATCTTCAGTCTGACTGAAGATCTATACTTAGCCCCGTAATCTGCCTGAAGACTGGACCAGGACGGGGTGGCGGTTGGGGGAGAGGCACCCTTGTGGAGAGGGGGTAATGCGCAGGATCAAGAGCGTGTGTGCGTGCGAGGGAGAGTGCCATGTGTGGTGTTGTGTGGGTGTTTTAGTTATTTTCACCACAACAGCCCTTGTTCCACCCAGAGGAGATCCAAATCCAGAGCAGCTTCACTTTTATTGCAGCCAATGAAGCACACTTGCGATGAGCCAATCGGACAAGGAAAACAGTTTTACGGAACGTTTACCTCTACGTTGTGTGTTTTTTGAAATTTTCACCACAACAGCCCCTATTCCACCCAGATGAGTAGCTCCAAAATTGAAGCTGCTTTAGTCCCATTGCAGACAACAAAAGTAAAAAAAAACTTGAGTTGAGACAAACCAACAACGAAACAGTTACCGTTTTTTTCCCCCCCCTCAATTTATGTGTGTCATCCTTGCGAGGGGGCCATGCTAATCTTCTATGTATCGTTCCAATTTTAACGGATGTCCCCGAAGGACCTTTAAAATTTTAATCCCTTTCTTACGTGTGTTCACTTTGGCTTTTTTGGGTACCCATTTCATTTGTCCTCGCAACTCCCCTTTTACTGAACCTCTCATGTACAAGGCTCACCATGTTGATTGTGGTCGAGCGCAAGCTGCTGCCCACATCCATAACGGCCCGCTTGCAGATGATGAAAGGAGGCAGAGTAAAGGCAGAGGTATATTCCTGTTCATTTTTCCTCAGATCTTCAGCTTATATATTGTCTGTTCTCTTAATGTTGCTCATCCGTATGGATTTACTAGTAGTACAGAAGAGGAGGGAGGAAGGAAATAGGAGGGGTGCGTGTGTGTGTGTGTGTGTGTGTGTGTGTGTGTGTGTGTGTGAGCGAGCACGGACACTGCAGCCATGCAGGGGTGCGGTGGATATTGCGACCGGTGTGGTTCAACTTTTGAACACTGTGTCGTGGTTGCAGTGGTTAAGATGCTTGCCTCGTGAGGGCAAGGGTCCCTGTTCGAATCCGTGTGCTGTCATGTGGAGGGATCCAACGGTGTGGAAGTACTGATCTGAAGATGATCACCTGCATTTGCCTGCGGACGACATCCAGCGGATATGTAACAGTCTGCCCAACAAGCCCGGCAGCGGCTCCGCATGCCAACTTCGTAGGGACAGATGGCTCGCCTGGAATGGACCCCTTCAGCGCCTCATAGACATAGAACTTCAACCCTGCGTATGGAAAAATTCCCCACAAGGTTGGGCCTGCAAGAGAAGTGAACAGACAGGAACAACGCAGCGGAAAAAAAAAAGGAAAAAAACTTTAAAAAAGAAGAAGAAAAAAAAGCAATCTTGTCAGGTGATGCCCAAACAAGCATCAGAGACTCAGAGTAATTGTTGCCTCTCAGGCAGAAAAAGGGCAAACAAAAGCATTCATAGATTCCATACCCATACATTCTCCAATGTTCTGCGATGAATGCTGGATTCACTCTGTCAGTTTGATACTCCTACAGTGACATACACACATGTTGAGCTGTGTTTCACACTGAGTGGAACGAGCGTGCAATACACTTGATTGGAATTTTCATAATTCCGTCTTCACAGCAAAAGACATGTGCATGGCTCTTGAGAATCAGCCCCCACACCAACGGGCCCAACTCAGTTGCTACACCCCTCCTGAACTGAACTGTTGAAATACAGACCCGAGTTCGAACCCAAATGCAACCAGACGAACAGATTAAAATCTCTGAATTAGCTGGACCCAACCAGTTCAACGTTCCTGGACTTGTCCGACCGGAACCTGGATGCATCTTCTGACGAATTCCGACTGCAACGCAATTACGATCAGAGCTTAGTCGAAAAGGTCCTAGGGTGAGTATGCTCTTAGAGGCCAGCAAAAACGCTTTCCCGTTTCCCCAAATCTCGACATAGCAAAGTGTGTAAATGACAAACAGGCGGCAAGGGCTTTTGGCAAAGCGAGACATTCCCAGCCCCGTAACGCTTCTGCCTACACCCTTAGGGCCTATACGTAGAAGCTACTAAGTTACCATAACCTATCAGATTACCTGCCTGGGTTCAAATCCCAGCACAGCAACTACTGACCCAAATTGAAAAGCAGAGATACTGCGGGGCCTGGGACCGAGTCCCCGTGCCAGCAATTCGGAACCAACATGAAAAATGGACTGTGCCCAACACTCCCTCCACCTCAACTCTAAGTTCACAAACTTCAAAGTCCTCTCACAATGCAGTCAGTTGTACTTAACCGAGCCGAGAACACTGTCAGCGAACAGAGTAACAATTGCAATAACAATATTCAGTAAATGCAATGAGGACATCCAGAAGAAAGTCAGAACCCAGAACTGTGTTACGTTATGTCGAAATCTCAGATTCTGAAGTTTATACTTGTCAAAGATTTGTTAATCCCCTTAGCTGTCGCTCGTATGCTGCCCCGGCCTTGAGTACATGCAGGTGTTTGCTGCCTACCGCCTTCACCCGAAGAGAATGCCCGGTCGTCATACCTATATTTTTTGTGCAACGGTCAGTCGCAGATACAGAGAGAATGACCAGGTGCTCTATTCAGGTGAAGACAGTACGAATGCCACAACACTTATTAAACACTGCTCGACTGACACAACACGTACCAAACACTTCCTGACGACTGATGCAACACTTCTTTTTTTTTAACACAAATTTCTTTTTCAAACACAAAACTTATGAAGACTGCCTGAGGAATGACACAACACAGTATCCAGCACTGCCTGACAAATGACACAACGCTTATTAGTATTATCAGTCGTAGTGGTAGTAGTAGTAGCAGCAGAAGCAGCAGTATATTTTTCGGCATAATACAGTTCTTTTTTCAAGTTTTTTGCTAGGCTGCCCCGGCGCCCGCCCGGGCGTGCCCGGCCGGGCGGACCCCGGCCGTTTGGGCCCGGGGGGGTCCACCCGGGTGAACCGGGCGACGCAAAAACAGGGCCAGGA